TTAATGAAAGTCTAGTGGTCTAGGCCTTTATAAATTCTTTATAAATATTTTACAGTAGTAGGCTGTGTACATGTCTCTGTCACATCAAACACCTAACATGAAAATGTTGGGGTCTGGAAATTGAATATAGCTCATCCTGGTGGTGACATCACCTGAGCATGAGGCCAGGAGATTCAAACAGAGCTGATGGGAAGTGGTTGGGGCGAGAGGGAGCAGGTGGTAGGTGGGAGCAAACTGCTTCAGCAGAGCTGCTCCTGGTGGCTGGTGGAGCTGGTGACCTGCTGCAGCTCGGGGGCTGAGAGGTTGTGTTCAAACTTTGGTGTTTTGGAAAGTTTCCCATGCCCACATCCAGTTTTCTGATGTTGAGTAAAAAAGCCCACTGTTAAAGCAGCTGTCGAAAGGTGCCTGTTACCATGTTAAACAGGACAAGGAGTACGGGTTATGGAGTATTTTAGGCTAAGTGGAAAATCAGTGCCAATGATTAGTATTTCATGAGCTTGTCAGTTTCTGAGAATTTCAGGGTCTTGTTTTCTGGTGCTGGTATTACTAGGAGCACGTGCTTTGCTCAGGTCTGGGAGGAAAGGCTTTAATCTCTCTGTGTCAAGAAGAAAATGGGGCTTGTGAATCCCTCAGATGCTTAAAGCCACCTGAAAAAGCCTCGTACATTCCCTGGACAAGTAACTGAGGGTGCTTCCTAAAGAAGGTTTGATTTTTTTTCTGCCATTACCTTCCATAGCAGATATCTGTCCTTCCAAAGTGTTACCCAGAGTGGGGAAGAGAGAGGGTGAAGAGCATGAAAGGCCCTTTTCAGGCCTGCCCAGTCTTGCTTCCTGGTGTGTGGGGCTGGGAACAGACCTCGGTGTGTACCCTTTCACTAATCCTTTGCACTGACCAGGGTAGGGAAAGATCAGCAGAGGTCAGCAGGGATTTACTAATATAAGCACATGCCTTCCTGTTGTCATGGAGACATAACTCTTTCCATTCCTTTATTTGGAGTTTATTTAGTAGTTGTGTTACTCTGATACTCGAGGTGGGGGGGTTCCCTTCCCACCCTGGCCCTCAGGATCCTGCTGTAGCAGGAGGTGTGCTGGGTGATGGCAGGAGCACAGCCCCACTGCCGAGAGCGGCGTCAGGCAGGGGTTTCGAGCACTCGCGGTTTAGGGACTTGAAGGTTCCTCTGGCTCAATTATTATTGCGGTGGGGTTGGAGGCTGATAACCCCAGTGCTGCCACTTCCCTTTTGGAATTTTAAGTGACCATTAAGAGCACCCTTAAGGCAGTTCTCAGTGAAGCACTGAGCATCTGCTATGAGGTCAGGTGTGTCCCTGGCTTGAGGGCATCCATCCTCTGTCGTAGTTTCCCCAGACTTTGAAAAAATAAACTTGAGAAAAACAAACTCAAAAACCAGAAGCCTGTGACTGATGCTAAAGCTGCATCTCACAAGCAGTGAGGCAATAAAATGTTTGAAGCTCCTTGTCCTGTGTATTGTTTTAGCATCTCATAATTGGTGTCTAGTAAAACCTTCTGCCAGCAGCGCTGACAATGCCAGGATGGAGAGGGGTCCCTGTGAAAGAAGTTACTTCCATGCGACTTGTGTTGTGGGGGGAATTGCCACTGAGATTACACAGCCTGTGTGAGATAACGGAGAACAGACAAAATTGAGGGGGTTTGTTTGTTTTTTAAAGAAAAGGACAGAGACCTTGCTACAGCTCTTTGAGAACCTCCTCCTCCTGCGCTGTGTGTTATCAGTTCCCACAGCTCGCTCTGCTGCTGCAGCATCTTGTCCTGCTTCACCCAAGGAAGAGATTCCTCAGGACACTTGGGAGAGAGACTGTGAATTCCTACCAAGGGTATCTTGGATTGCCCAATATCTCATTAATTCCTCATTTCTCTTCTTATGGATAGAAAACTTGCTGTTGCAACTGCCCTTTGACAAGATTATTTAGCAAAAGTATAAAGTATAAAATTATTAAAGCCAGTTATTAAACCAAAGCCTGGTAACGCACCTTGTTTGCCTTAAAAGTGATACAAAAGGTTACAAACCTAATCTTTTAGGGAAAATCTTTGTCAGCTACCATTGAAGTGTAAAACCAGACCTGTCCTGACAGAGCTCAATGAATGCTTTATATGGGATTCTGTTAGCCTTTGAAGTTCCTCCCAATCCACCCCTAAATGCCTGGAACATATTCTTCAAAGAAACTGGAGTCTTCTCCAGTTTCATTTCAGAGGAGGGTTGCAGGATGGTATGACAAATATATTTTTTAATGTTTTTTTTTCACTTACAAACATCACTAATTCATGTTCTTCTTGTGAAACGTAAAGGAAAAATCCCAAATGTCATTGTTAATCCAGCAACAACTACTTTTGTGGAAAACTATAAACTCTCATCATTCAATATCTTTTTTGATCCGATTTTCATCATTTTCATGAAACAGCATAGTCTGAATTATGTGTTTTCATGGTTGGTATATTGTGCAGCAGGAAAAGCTAATTTATTCACTGTGCTTATTAGCATTTGGTGCGTATTCATATGCTATTCATATAATAATCTATTCCAAAATTGAGATGCATTATTGTGTGCCATAGGACTGATGGATGAAAATAACAACATCAGAGCTAGAAAGGTCATACGTGTTCTTTCTCAAGCCAGGGGGTAGTCAAAGTCTTTGATACCCATTCAGTACTCAGAACTCTTACAGACTTTGCATTTACCTTCCTGGTGACATCACGAGTGTTGGATTCACTTCTCACTGCTGAAGTCCCCCGTTCTGACCTCACTCTCTAACAAATTCTGTTTTGAATTAGTGTCTCCTCTGTGGACTTATTTAGCCAGAAGGTTACCACTGCCACTGAATTAATGCCAGGGTTGTACTATATTTACACAGGGGCGTGTTTTGTCCTTGGGAAATATATACAGGGGAGTATAGGATATAATCTTGGAGTTAGTGTTGTTAATGCGCCTGTAACCTCTACTGAGTAGGACAAACACGTGGGTAATTTTCTGCAAGCTGCAGTTCCCAGAATAATTTGAAGTTATTTAAATACTGTTTCATTTCTTGTGATTTGCACTGCAGTCTTCTCAGCCTGCTCCACGCACGCTTTGTGTGGCTGGCGTTCTCCCTGTGACTCTGCTGCTGTTCTGTGGTGAGCCAAGAGGCCTTCTGGCTTCCCTGTGAAGCTGTGTGTCTGCTTGAGGTGGTACCTGTCTGTAGTTCTGCCCTGTCGTGTCTGCAGGTGTGGGTGTGACACTGGGGCCACAGATTTGTCACCAAGTCTCTTTGTAATGGACAGGCATTAATGATGATACAAATTATTGAGCATTGCAGTCCTACAATGAACCAAAATAGAGAAGGTACAAAAAGGTATGTTGGTTGTGAAAGAACTTTGGAAAAGACAGGAAATAGCAGAGGGATTTGATGTTTATCTTTATTTCCAAGAAGCATTTAGAGTGTCTATAATGGAAGCAGAAAGCTGCATGTAGCCTTTGAAATGAGTTCAGCCCATCTACACTAACAGCACCTGGTGATTCGCTTGAAATATGAATTTCTTTGCAGATGGAGTCTGCTGCAAATCCAAGTCGTTCTGAACATGCCATGGACTTGGTCTCTTTTTTTGTGCCAGGCTGTGCTCCTGGCCTGTGGAAAGTGCAGGCTGGGAGCGGTTACTCATTAAGCGTACAAAGGCTCCTATCTCCTGCCCAGGAAAGCTCTTTTGCAAATAGTTTCCTGGGCTCTCACTCTTAATTGCTACAGGGATTCCAGGCAGATTCCGTCATCCTTGTTTTCTGCCTGACTGGGAATCTGAGAATAAAAGGGTTGATGGCAGAATAATGAGATTGCTGGACAGTGCAATGCTCAGCGACTCTCCCCAGCATCACATGAGAGAGAAAGGGAGGGGTGGCCACAGAGATGATGCTGGGGAGAGAAAGGGCTAAATCCCTGAGCACCTCCCTCCCCCATCAACACTGCTGCTCAAAAGAAGACTTAGAAACACTACAGTCCTTTGGTGGGAGGAATTTGGGGGAGGTCAGGGCAGGGGCAGGCTTTTGTAAACCAAAGCCTCCTATAAATCCCTTTCAGGCCCTGAAGTTGGATGCCTCCACCTTCAGGTACAAAGGGACTGAAGAGCTGATGGGGCAGTGAGCTGATAGAAAACCAATGACACGGATTAACTGCTGGGTGTGTAGGAGGTGCACCAGAGCAAGGAAACGTGACCAAAAATGGGCTGGGATAATGATGGCATGAATGAGAGAATGTGTAAGGTCAGCTGAGAAGTGATGCTGTAGTGTGTGATCCTGGCAGACCCTTAGCATGGAGCACGGCACGTTACAACAGCGATTCTCAGCTAGCAGTGAGGTGCTGAGCTGTGGGTATCCTTAGAGAAACTGCCCACTCTCCATCCACAGGTTGGAGGAGCTGCCCAGAGCCTGATTCCTGTTACCAGCTGCCCCACAGTTGCATGTAGAAGGCAACGAGAAGGGCAGAGAGCTGCCTACACAATGGCATCTAAAACCAGGGCTAAATGCTAGGGATTGCCTGACTTCCAGTGCCAGGCAAAGGCAGCGTTGTCTCTCCAGAAGCGGTAGCTTTTTCTCAGTTACCATTTGCTATTTCATGAGCTTAACCTCTGCTTTCTGGCCATTTTTCATAGACGTTTTCAGAACATCTGCTATGTAGTTGTTTGCAGAGTTACTTCCAAGTGTGGATGTTTCATACCACTTCTGCAGGAATCAGTCTCGGGTATCTCTACCCCACAGCTTCTCTCCCAGTTATCCTGGAATGGAGCAGCACCAATAACCCTGATATCAGAAAGCTGCGGTGGGATGAGGGGCTAATGACTGCTGCCTTTGTGAAGGGAGAACTTCTCTGTTGCCATTGCCTTTGCCTCTTTATACTATTTTTGTTTATTTGTTTGCAATCTCATCTCATGTGGTGATGGCAGAAGAACTTTCTTCTTTAGGGCCACGAATACCGACTAACAAAAAGTCTCTTTCCTCAACAGGAACTTCATGCTCTGAACATGACAGTGGCTGTTCCTCATCCCCCTGTAAGAATGGTGGGAGCTGTAAGGATTTGGAAGGGGGTTACCAGTGCACCTGCCCCACGCAGCCCGTGGCCTACGCGGGCACAGACTGTGAACTCCTGTATGACGCGTGCGATAAACACGTGTGTCCTGCCCCGTGGAACTGCAGCGCGACTCCAGGACGGCTGGAATACGAATGCATCTGTATGCCTGGCCTCACAGGTACTGATTGTCACGTTGGTGTTAATGAGTGTGAGAGCAACCCTTGTAAAGACCCTCGTTTTGAATGTGTAGATAGTGTAAATGGATACACCTGTAAATGCCAAACAGGACTGAATGGAGAAGGCTGCCAAACAGAAAGCTCTGTGTGCTCTAGCCACCCCTGCCTAAATAACGGGACGTGTGTCGAGGGTCCTGGGGACTATTCCTGCGTCTGCCAGCCGGGCTTCACCGGGGCCAACTGCAGAGACACCATTGATGGATGCGCCTCCAACCCCTGCCGGAACGGAGCCATCTGCCGAGCCGGGGTGAATGAGTATAGCTGTTTCTGTGTGCCGGGGTTCCAAGGATACAACTGTGAAATAGACATCAACGAGTGCGCGTCCCGGCCCTGTAAAAACAATGGCACCTGCCTGAATGAGATGGATCACTATGTGTGCCAGTGCATCCCCGGCTACACAGGTACCTTTCATGCTCACGTACTGGCCGGGTGGTTGGGGTACCTCTCGCTGATCACGTAGTTCCACACTTTGCCTGCTGCTGATACATCTTGTAGTGTTAGTTGCTGTCCTGAGAGTCTGTTCTCTTACAGCTATGAGACTAAACCTCTGTTGCACAACTCATATTTCTGGACATCTTGGGATTGTGTGTGAATAATGATGTGGGGCTGCTTGTTGTGGGTTCTGGGCAACTGTCAAGGCTTTGATTTCTGTGGATGATGTGGGTATTGAGAGACAGGGATCTAAGAGTGGAAGTGGGTGGACTGTCTGAGACATCAGTACTAGATACAAAGTGTAATTAGCTCTCAATATGAAATTGAAGGAGGTATACAAGAGAAGAGATTTATTATCAGGAAATTCATACTTAGTGTTTCCAGGAATAACTTATCTCTGCCTCTGTGTAGTTTTTTTGTCCTGTCCTGCAGGATTTCTCTGAGGGAGTTAGTCTTGCTGGAATGAAGTGGCTTTTAGTTGGGGATTTTTTTCCAATTCTTTCACACCCAGCCAATGTTTTTTGGCACGTGACAATAAGTATCTCTTTTTGGTGCATCTGTGCTAGTGGTGACTCAGAGAGTAATCTACACCTGTGAGTTATCCGGGGGGAGGCGGTGGGGGTTCTCCTTTTCCAGCCCTGCTTATCGGGGTGGAATGCAGTCAGACTGCGCCCACGGCTGCCTGGTACCACCTAGCACATGAACTTTCTCAGCCTTCCTCCTTGTCACAAACTGAAGTGTTTGAAGAGCTGGGTTGCTGAGAAGGAATGCTGCTGATTACCAGTGGAATGAGGAGAAGTTACAACATCAGGAATGTGGTCCCTGATGCTGACTCACTCTGATAAAAATGAACAGAGATGAAGGGGAAAAAAAGCAGAATTCCTCTGTAGGCCTTAAGATTGGTGCTGATTTTAAGTATCAAGCATAATTCTGTCTTTGCAAAACAGTTTCTTTTTTATCTTTATGTTGAATCCTCAATTCAGGATTTGTGGGACTCCCCTGCCAAGGAAGTGATAAAATGCCCCAGGCAGCTGGAGAACCTTGTTGTGCTCCAAGTTACTCTGATGTCAAATATGAGGCTTTGCCTTATGATCCAGTGCTTCGTGCAGAGCTTCTGTCCCCATTGGCCAGAAAGAGCAGGTTGTTTCCTGGTGCTTGCAGCTGGAATTTGGGGGAAGGAAGTTTTACGTGGGTGTTGACGGGTTTGAACGGGCGGATTAGGGGGCCCACATTCCATGAGGATTAGGATGGCCATGTCCACTCTGTGGGGAGCCTTTGCCAGGAAGGGGAGATTAGGTGGATTGGCAGGTGCCACTGCAATGACTAAGGTTTGGAGGTGATGCCAGGCCATGGACAGCTCAGAGAGGTGCAGTACAGCGTGGGAAGATAGTTGCATAGAGGTCACACAGAACTTACTCTGTCACAGAAAGTTGAGGCTTTGGACCAAAAACTGCATGACTTGCTGTTATTCTTGACTAGTAGTACTGGAGCTAACACCTAATTTTTAATAGCATTTCATAATAAAATTACTTACTAATATCTACTATCACTGTAATTAGCGTTTTGCATTGCTTTAATGCTTTTTTCCTAGGTGTCTTAGAACAAGTTACAAATATTATTTAAAAAAATGGAACAATGTTTTGGAGAAGCAGGTAGAGATCACTTTTCCCATAGCCAAAATGCAGCTGCCTCTGATGTAGAATACTGGATTGATTAATAGCAATGCAACACAAGTGAAGAGTACTGTGTCTAACTAAAACTGTAAGATCTATATCATATATAAAAGTTTAAATAATAATGACTGGCAGTGTGATTCTTCTCTTCTGCCCTCCCTGCCCTCAAAGGATCCCAAGCCAAAGCAGCTGTCATTAGATTTTTAAGAGCTGTACATAAGGTCAAGATTTTATAGCTTACTCAGAAAATGGATGCTATTTGTGAAATACTGACTGATTGTTACCTCAACAAACCTGAGTGAAAGAGACTAAAGCTTTGCAAATACTGGAGACTATTTTGTGTTTTGATAGAAGACTAAAATCCAAAAGTCTTGACAAAATGATTTTGTTTGCAAATAAAAATTAAGGGTCCTTAATTTGCAAAAATGGCTTGCTGTTCATGAGTTCCCAATATTCTTATGGCAAAATGAGAACAGATCACTCTGCTGGCCAGTTTGGGCTGATAACCTGGCTTTTGTGATTCCAGCTCAGAAGTCCAGGCAGCACAGAGATACTTTTCTGGGTTTGTAACACAGATATTTCTCTGTTTTGTGACAAAGGTATGAACTGTGATGCTGAAATAGATGAATGTGAATCAGAGCCTTGCCAGAATGGGGCCCTGTGCAATGATCATGTTGGGTTCTACACCTGCACATGTGCACCAGGCTACCAGGGAGTCCAGTGTGAGGTGGACATCAATGAATGTGCGAGCCAGCCGTGCCAGCACAACGGGACATGTCATGACCTCGTTAACAGGTGAGAAATCGGTGTTGTTTGGACAATCGGTGTTGTTAGGGCTGATCTAAAGGTCTCCTTAGTGTAACCTGTTAGAGCAGAAATCTGTAGGGGGAATTGGATTTAGTGTTTTGTGTATCCCAATGGTCACAGTGGCAGTAACAGAATGATTTATGGCAGTGGGTGAGAGGACCCCTCCCGGCAGCAGAACTCTTAGGCTGCCTAAGGGAAGGTAGGAAAAGATCCCTGTTATTGCTTCCAGCAGACATATCAGATACAAAGGGATTTGCAGAGCATGAATGGCATAAGCAGCTGCTGAGAATGTACCTGTGTGTCTGAATTTACCTTTTCATAGGTAAGGTGTGAACTCCCAGACTGCTGAGGGTTTTCTGCTCTGTCATTAGTGTGGCCAGTTTGTGCAGATGGAACTTTTTCCTCTGCCCCACACGTGGGCATGAGGACCAGCAGCTTGGCTCCATTGGCACTTTCCTTATGTTGGGCTTTGTGGTCAAGTTAAGAGCTTATGCATGGCTCTGTTCTGCTGCCCCACAGCTACCGGTGTGACTGCAGTGACACAGGCTTCGAGGGGAGCCACTGTGAGCTGGACATCCTGGAGTGTGCCTCCCAGCCCTGTCTGAACGGTGCCCTGTGCGTGGAGGGAATCAAAAGCTACAGCTGTGCCTGCTGGCCAGGTAGGTTAGAAATCTGTTTTGCTGTGCTGGCATGTAGACAGGCTGCAATGGAGAGCACGTGCTGAATTGCCACGTTGAAGAATTAAAGAATTCATGATCGTACTGCATGGTCCAGTGTGATTTTTTTCATTGTCTGAAACAGTGAGGCTCTATTGCTGCCTTTACACGCCATCCCAAAATCCAGTCAACCTCATTGCTGAGAAATGCACCCTGATTCTCAACCTAACGTTGTCTTTTGCTTTTCTGCCATTTTCCATCACGTGTTTTTCTATCCTGAGCTAATGCTTTCCTGCAAATGAATTATTTGGCTCCTGGGTTTGACATAGGGGAGAAAGTGGGGGGCGCTGGGACTCCCTGCTGGGAGAGCTGCGGTGTCTTCTGGGGCTCATTCTCACCTTCAAGGCAACCACAATATTTGGGAGACTAGTTCCAGTGGAGTTGTGTGTGATGCTGACACTGGTGTCTCCTGGCAGGTTACACGGGGCAGCACTGTGAGGAGGACGTGGATGAGTGTGCAGCAGGTCCCTGTCACAACGGAGGCGTGTGCTTGGAGCGCTCCAACCCAGCCTACTACGGAACACGGCCCGACTTCCCCAGGAATTTCAGCTACAGCCAAGCAGATGGTTTCCTCTGTCAGTGCCAGCCAGGCTTTACAGGTGAGCTACGGTAGATGTCCATCCTCTCTGCACCTGATAGATGCTGCATGGGTGGAGTAATGTTATCTGTGCAACAAAAATCACTTAATGACTGGTACTTGAGAAGGGGGTGTGCCTGATGCATCAGGAATGTGCTTCTGTGCACACTGTGTGAATCTCCTGAAGGCTGTGGCTGGAATGTCACTCTCTGTGTAACAGGCCTGTCACAAGGCTGAGGAACAGCCTGTGCACCCCCCAGGTGCTTTGATGAATGCCCTCTGGCTATGCAGATGCCAAGGTGGTTTCTCTTTGTCAGTCTCTCATGCGTATGGCAGAATTCATCCCTACAGGGTATCTGTGAAACTCCTCATCAGAGGAAACTAATTCTCAGGAGTCCCAGATAACTATTCTAGGTGTTCCCTTGATGAGACTCCTCTCATGACAGCACCTGTATAATCAGAGTGGGTAGGAGAAGAGGGGGTTCTTGATATCTTGCTCTTGGAGCTAAAATCTCCATGGATGTTCAGCTGAAATGTTCTGATTTATAGAAACACATAAAAGGCTGGATTTAACAGCTGGAGAAATTCCCTGGTAGGAGGGGTTCAACAATAATACTTTATTCTTTTTTGAGAGAAAAATGAGAGTTTGGCCCACTATTGCAGGGATGGGAATGGTTCAGAAGTTCTGATCCTGCCACTGTTCCTTTTCATGACACTGGAAAATCATTTGATCTTTCTGTACTTCATTTTCTCTAATTGTTTCAGTGATAGTATTTATTTGCCACAGTTTCTGGAGAGACATGCTAGAAAATTCATTCAAGAAATTCCGCGTTTTTAGATGAAAGAAAAGAAGTGCAAAAAATTATGATTGCAGTTGTCATTCAGACTCTGTCCTTCACTGATGCCCGTGTGTGCTTAAGATCCCTGTTTGTGTTTTCTCTTTAAAGGGGAGACCTGCTTCACTAACATCGACGAGTGCGAGTCCCAGCCGTGTCAGAATGGAGGGCTCTGCGTGGACCTTATCAATGGCTTCTCTTGTCACTGCCTGCCAGGTTACTCAGGTACTGCTGGGGAAGGGTGCTGGTGGGAATTGGGACCCTCTGGGTAACTAGTGCTGGGCTGCTGTGGGTCTGCCTGGCCGTGGGACTGGTGGCCGGTGACAAGTGGTGTTTCCAAGGGCTGGGTACTGGGGCTTGTTCTCTTTAATATCTTTATCAACACCTGGACAAGCAGATTGAGTGCACCCTCAGTAAGTTTGCAGGTGCTTGAGTCGCTGGCCCTGGAGGTATTTAAAAGACATGTAGATGAAGTGCTGGGGGATGTGGTTTAGTGGTAACTTGGCAGTGCTGGGTTAACGTTTGGACTGGATGGTCTTAAAGGTCTCTTCCAACCAAAATGGTTCTGTTCGGGCTTGAATGCCACGGGAAGGATTTGTGGTTTCAGTCAAGGAAGTTGATAGGCTGTGAACTTGATTTTGATACATAAGATCAACTATGTATAAGAGTCTAAGATTAGAATATCTAGGGGATCCTCATCCTGGAGTCAAAGTTCACTGGGAGAACTGTGGGTTTTTTTCATACAAGTACTATGAAGGTGAACAAAACCAACCTTCAAATAAAGAAAGGGGTACTTAGCATTCTAGTTGTCACACACTACCCACTGAAGTAGATCAGATCCCCAGGACATAAACCATCTGTAAAACATCTTCATTCCCTAACACCCCTGGATGATAAGAGCCAGCCATTTTTGGCTGAAGGCAGTAATCTGCTATGTTAGGAGGTCAAAAGGTCTGTGTGATGTGAGCAAATGAAGGCTTCTCTGTTTACAAGGGAATGGGGAGTCTGGCTTCTTACACAAATGCCCTGCCTGACCCTAATGTTTTCTAGCTAAGAACCTAGGGGAGAGTGAATATTGCACCTCTCTTGGGAAGGTACACTGCTAACTGATACTAAGCATTATTTTTGTTAAAGTATTTGTTCTCAGTCTTCTGCATCTTTAAATTCCACGTGTGCTCTCTATTTGGAGCAATTTAACACCAAAATGTAGTTTATAAGGAAGGTGGTCCCCAGCACGACCTAGTATTTATTTATTTTTGAGGTGGATGTAACCTTTCCACAGTGTTCCTAGGCTGCCATCTCGTGGAAAAAGAAAAACTTGAAGCCAGAAGAAAACCTTGTCCTTTAACTTGTTGGAACAGCAGGTAGCAGCATTCCAGAGACTTCATAGGCCTTTATTGCATGGGAAAGTTTTATGTTTCCTTCTGTGGTCACAGGGATTGAGCTGTGTTGGTGTAACTCTACAGGTCCTTCCTGGGAAGGCCCATTACACGGGTACTTCCACTCCCAGAAGCTCAAATCAGCTCCTAGTTAACGCCTTCTGGAGCTGGGCTGGATTCTTTATGCAGTTTTCTGGCCTATCTAGTTTGTTTTGGATTCCTAATTTTGGCTAGGCCAAGAAAAATTTGCTTTTTTAAGGTGAGGTCTTTGAAAATAGGCTTTTATCTAAGCTCTTTATTGGAGCTTTCTTGGGTAGTTACAATGCTGTACTCAGGAACTGAGATCTTGTCCAAAGAGGTGGTTTAAAGTTTATCCTACTTGTCAGAATTCCCACTCCCATATGTGCCCTGGTCCCTCTCCCTCCTTCAGTGCCCCAGCGCCCTCAGAGTTCAGAATTTCATTGTGCTTTGCCAAACTGCAGATCTGTTTAATCCTTCCCAATTCTTAGCGTGCTCATGGGCAGAAAAGCTGACAGAAATAGGATGATGGGCAGAGGAGCACTAGAGTTCATTCTGTTGCATCAAATTTGGGTTCATTAGCACTCGAAGGGGATTAGAAGCAGGTTGCTCTTCTGGATATTGCTTTTGGTAAAAGACTTTGTCTCAGCTGAGGTAGCTCTGACACATGAGCAGAGAGAGGCTGGGAGCAGGCTGTGAGATCAGTGAGTGCGTGTGGAGGAGTGAAGCTGACAGGGAAATAATAGCAATTAATCTCCCCTCCTTTGTCAATTAATCCCAGTACAGTCATGCTGGGTAAACAGCTTATTACTTCATATTAGGATCACAGAACAACTTTGTGAAGCTTCCCATAATGTTTCTGTTCAAAACACATTTCTGTGGCAGCTTAGATCTGCCATGAACTTGGGTTTAAGCTGCCTCCGCTGATTAAAGTGAACTTGCTACTCTGATGAAAAATGCTTTCTTGGGGCAGCAGGGGGTTCTTTCTCTATTTTTTATTCTTCAGTCTGAGGAATTTGGGGAGTGTTGGGATAACAATGTGAGTCAGGAGAAATTCTTTCTCTGCAAATTAACTGCCTCGGTGCTGTCTCGGGCCACAGCAGTGCCAGGAGATGAACCACCTCTCCCTGAAACGTGGTTGTTGCAGAAGCTGTGTTTCGTTCCCAGGAGAGCTACCCCATAAGTCCTGACGAGGCTGTTCAGTGCGTCACTTTGTGCTTTAGTGGAGAATGTACCCTCAGAGGATGTAAAGAGGATGAATCAAAAGACTGTATGGCTACTATGTGAAGTGAGAAAGAGAATGAATCTTGCATGGTCTTGGAAATTATGTCAACTCTACACACTTGGAAATTTGTATCCAAAGTTCACTCTCCATTTTGTGACATTTTTCTACTAAGAACCCTCTGACATATTTAGTGTTCTTTATCTTGACTTCTCCAAGAAGTTTTACAAATGATTAGCAACAAAATCATTCTCTGAATTTAAACCCCATGACTGAATCTTCTAACTCGCATGATTGCCAGTGTGTAAGAATGGGCAATTAAACCTCTAGAAAATTAATCATCTGATCCTTTTAATTTCTTCAGAATCCTTCAGTTTCAAAGGGCCTAAGCAGGTACTCCCCAGTTGTGTGTAGTTTGGGGCGGGTGGTCAGTGAGCCACCATTTTGGCTTATAGGAGTTCTTATTTAAATATTTTGTCTCGGATATATATGTACTATTTAGAATTGCCATGACTGTATTTCTCCATTGTCATTCTCTCTCTTCAAGAGAACCCCAGTCTTTCTGTATCCTTAAACTGATCCTGGGGAAAGCAGCAATCAATCTCAGTTTCTAATTAGCAGTATTTCATGTAATGAATTTGCGAAGATGTAGTGACCGTCAGGGGATCAGAATCTGTGCTGACTTGTGCTACGTGGATTTATTTGGGTACAAAATATTTCCGATCAGCAGTGTACACATAGACTCTGTGTGTGTGTGCAAATATGTTCATGTGTGTATAAATCAAAATACGGATCTTTTTAAAGGGATTTAACGTTCTCCAGTCTTCATAGTTGTTATAGCTTATTGTTGCAGTAGGCGGTTGGATGGGCACAAGCTGCCAGCTTGTTTTCTCTTGGACAATAACAGAAGGGTCATATTAGCTAATGATAGATAGGATTTAAAATCTGTACTGGGGTAGGTCTGTAGGTGCATAGGACCCAGATATGACTCTCTGAGAAGTTTTAACCCCAAACAAACAGTCACCATATCCCTCCCACTTAAATTATCTGTAAAATTGACTGGCATGTTTGGATTGAGTGAAATGAAGAAAGTAAAATAGCTACAAGAGTTGTTGGAATGCTTTCTTTTAATATCTTAAAGAGATACTGCGGAGTGGGAGTTTCTGTTTGCTTGGACCTGATGTTGATACTGACAGAGACTCCCAAGTTTGGGGAAAAGCTCCCAAATAACATTTCTTCACAGAAATAAGAACCTTCTCTGGGTTCCTTACAACATGAAAGTACAATTCAGCCTCCAGGAACTTTACAGTATGAAAGTAACCACATTTTTTCAAAGAAACCGTCCGAGAACTACAGAGGGAAAAAAAAAAAAGAGATTGCAACAGCTAATTCTATAAGGTTGCTAATAAGAGAAGAGAGAGTTTTGATTCTGCAGTCCCATGTTTGAACCAGTCCAGTCAGCATAATACAGGGAATTTCCTTCCATTTGGTTTGACATCAGAGAAACAGATCAAGGTAGTTAAAACTTGAGACTTTTCTTGGTGAGTGTTGCAGAGTGGAAATGTTTGTGCTCACAAAGGCACAGAGCAGGGCCCATGGAGCAGGGAAACCACGTGAAGTGCTGGTCCCTGATTAAGTCAGTATTGAATGTACAGCAGGGCCCGGGGTCACTCTGCATTGGGAACTCTCCTGGTTTGTGTGGTTTGGATATTACTCAGTGGTGGAAATGCAGCTTTTTTGGCTTGGCCTATGAAAAGAAAAATCCATACTTTGGCCTTATTCATGGAGTTTGGCAGATTCACCTGGGGGGGCGGCGAGGGCAAGAGATTGTCTCTTGGCTTTTTACTGCTGGAGCTAATGCTGTGGATCCTGCAGGGTATTACTGTAATGCACGGAGCGAGGCTACGCCGCATTCTTGGTGTCAGCAGTGAGGGGGGCCAGCTGGGAGGCTCAGCGCAGGGCTGGATTAGATCTCCCCGCGGCGCAGGTCTCTGCTATATTGGCTGGTTTCATCTCCAATCCCTCCTTGTCTGACTGGCACCAGGCAGTGCTCACGCAGCCTGCCGTTTGTCCAGCCTTTTTTATCATTCCTCCCCCCACCATTCGCCCCCATTTTTTTTTTCTCACTTTACTGTCACAAATGTCCACAAGGAGTCGGCCATGAAATCTGTGCTGATTGGCGTGATCCTGAAGGGAATGTTTCTGCTGGCAGGTAATGAGATCTATACAGTAATTGTGCTGTGTCCTGAATGCTTGTGTGCCTGCCCCGGGCAGGGAGCTGGGGCTGCGATTCGTGGTGGCTGGAGGCAGGGGAAGAATTGACTAGGGAGGAAGAATGTTTGTATTTTGAAGAGACCTGAAGTTTTGTTTTGGAAACTTTAGGGCAAGGAATTTCCTTGTTGCTGCAAGATGAACGGAGCCCTCAGCTGCTCCGTGTGCCTCTTCCCTACAGCTCTGCCTTGTTCTGCTCCGGGGCTGGTCCCGAGGTGTCCGAGGGTCCTTGCTTGTGCTGTGTGAACAGACAGGTAACACACCCGGCTGGGTCTGTGAAACGATGGGTTTGCTTTGTAAAAAACAGGTGTTTTGGCGATTTTTTTTTTTCCTTTTTCCTTTAATGCTTTCAAACTCCTGTACTGAGAACTGGTTGTTGGTTTAACTGGGAGGACAGACCCTTTGCTGGCCTGTGCACCGCTCCATCTCCTCCCCCACCGGCTCCTCGAGTCGTCGTGCGCCGTGGGAGAGAGGTCAGCGCGGTGTGTTGCCATGGAAATGGCAGTAATTGTGCAAATATAATTGTGTCGGGGTCCATTTGTTGCGGCTAATTCCCTCTCGCCCCCCTCTCTCCCTCCCCTCCTTTTTTCTTTTGATAATAATAATACAAACCCTAATTAGGATGCACCAGGGAAGGCTGGTAGGAATTCGGCTGTCTTACGGGAGAGGGCAAGCCGGTGCCAGCCGGGAAGCCCCACTGAACTCACATGTTTCAAGATTGGGCTCATGAATAGACCTCATCCTTCAAGCTTTTTTGGGATATGACAGCTAAGTTAGAATATCTCTTTTTTGGGTGCTTCTTCTTTTAACATATTACCTATCTCTTGAAGTATATGATCGTTACACTGTATACAATGAATCTTTGCTTATTAATAGCGGTCAGTACATCATTACCTTCATTCAGGGTATGGTGAGCTACGGGGATTTTAATAACACTTGCCTCTATGAAAAAAGACAGTTCTTACCACAATGGTAACACTTTAGAATCCAGTGAATAGATTTGTATTTGAAAATACTGTGGGTTGTTAAAGCTCAGTGACTTCCGAGTGCTTGTTTGTGACCCAGCCCCTGTGGGTTGTTAGCTCGGGACTGTAAGCTTAAACACTGCTAAATTAACTGGAATGTTTGAAAATACTTGTCTCCAGCTAGCAGCATTTAAATAACACTTGTCTGATTTTCAGATAACAAGTTCCACTGATTTGCGTTTGTTAGCATTTAACTAGATAAGGCACTCATTAAACATTTGAAAGTCTCCTAATGATGTAATGAATCAGATTGGCAACATTGCTTTTACTATTGATAGTTCAAATAATAGTAAACATTTGAGCTAAGAAATTTAGAGGGAACAGAGAAGAATACCTAAGAGTAAATTGGTTTTGAGTCCGCCCTCTTACTTTTTTTTTTTTCTAAATATACCTGAAAAGTGAGGTCTAAGCTTCTCTTGCAAAAACAAATTAGTTTTGAACTTCTTAACATCCACTTGCTAGTGGGTTTGCAAAGACACAACTGTCCATATCTTGGAGAAGATTGGAGTAGTGGATATCCAGGAAGCGATCTGTACTTCTGGATCCTGTAATGGCCTATAGCAAAAATCTTACTTTTTTCTGAAGTAGGGAAAAGTTCCTTTATTCTGCTGACATCCCTTCCATTTACACCCTGTCATCTGCAACTGAAACCCAAAATTACAGGCCCCTTTGCTACACTGAAATTAGCATCTAGGAAGCAATATGCAACAGAAATCTCCTTCTTTTGCCTTGGTTTGATGTAACTGAAGAGTTTGACAAACCGGAGATGTTCAGACACAGTTGACAAAACTGACTGGCACTAACGGGGGAGGAGAGTCGGCCGGGCAGCTGGTGGGGGGCATGGTCACTGGGGGCATGTAAGGAGTTAATGGTGTAGCACTGGGTAACCGTTCAGCAAGGGGTGACATTGGCTTCCAGGGAAAAATTGTTGTTAGCCAGATTTTTAGAACTCTTACACATCCCCTGTGTTACTGGTTTGTTAATAAACTGCTTCAAATTCAGATCTGGCGCTGCACTGGCTTTGAGCAGGGCAAGGGTACGTTGGGTGTTGGTTTAGAGGCCCTTTTCTTCTCCTGCTCGAGTCCCGTGAAGGCTGGCTGCTGGCAGAAACAACAGAGATAAAGGTGATGCTCGTGGTTTTGGTTCCTTCAGGAAGAGCTGCCTCCTCTCTTTCCACTGCAGAACGTGCCTGTGTGTGAGCTGGGAGGTCAGGCAGCAGTTTGTGAAGACCTGAAGTGTCAGCTTATTTTTTTCACCCATTTCAAACAAATAATCTAAGAAATCAAACCAGCTGTGTCCCATGGGAAAGCTTGGTGTTTAATTAGCCACCAGCCTGGGGTTGTGCACTCACCGTAGGGACTAATTTGCCACCTGGTGTGAAGCACTGGCCCCACAGGTGTCAGCTGGGGGCTGGGAAACAGCCCGGGCAGGTTTTCCTGCTGCTCCTCCACAGAGAGGGTGCACTGGAGGGGACATGGTCAGGCCCCGAATGTGACAGGGAAAAAACAGGGCTGGGACCCTGCCTCCCGGCCTTCTCAGAAATTCATGGCATTGCTCCTTTTGTTATCCAAACCCGTGTTATCTTCTCCTCACTGCCCCGGTAAATATTGACTATACCCCACCTCTCTTTCTGATGCCATTCAGCAGCTTCTCCCCTTAAATCTGACTGCAAACTTGCCTCTTGCAGTGTTGGGAGCCCCCCAGTCCACTGAGAACTCAGAAAACTCACTCCATGTGGTTCTACTGCTCTACTGATTTTTCTTAATTCCAATTGAAGTCTTCCTGTCTTCTCCCAGACAGGGATTCTCCAGACCCAGAGATGTCCATTATACTCTATTTATTCCAACATGTTTCCTTCAAGTGTGGCCGTATCTTTGTGCTGAAATCTTAATTCTGTCTTTGCTGCTTCCTTCAGGGGTGAGATCACAGCCCAGGCTCTGTGTTGCCCAGCCCAGCACTGATAGCAGAGGAGCAGGGCTGTGCTGAGGCAGCGTTAGCAACTCGGAACCTGTCCATCAGCTGAGTTGTTTGTCCAGGCAGATGTTCTAGGCCAAGTTCAGTGCTGTTCCACAGGCACCACACGGAGCAGTTCTCTTCTGGTCTCTGTCAGCAGAGAGCTGTGTCCTAAAGCAATCCCAGTTACCCTTGCCTACAGAGCAGCTCTCCCATAGCTGGGAAGCACGGTGTTGGCAGAGCCTTCCATTTCACTCCCAGTGCTTCTCAGAGCTCCACACATCCCTACACTGGCACAACCCGACGTTTTGGAGCTGGAAGGGGGTGTTGAGGCTTCCCCAGTCTGCAGAGACAGCACTGGGTACAGCAACTGAACGGAGTAAAGCAGCTGGGTCAGAGCAGGGCGCCGGGGTTTGTGCCAGCCTGGGAGGCATTGCTGGGGCACCAGGGGGACAAACCATCCACACATATGTTCAAGAAGCCTGTATCTTTGCTAAGTTTTTTTCTTTATCACACATCAAGTCCAGCTCCAGTGCTCCTAATGCCCCGTCTCCCCTCATCTCTTCCCCTCAGGCAACTCTCTAATCTCTTTGACATGCACATTCTGTCTAGTGGTTTTTCTTTACAAATGTCTTTTGTGTTTTGATTCCCCTCCTTTGTGTGTGAATTCCTTCTTTTTCTTTCTGCTGCCCTGGCTGTGCTTGCTAGCTAGAGTCCCGTGTAATGCTATTAGATTGGGATAATCCAGGCTTGGTTTATCTGTGGGACTGTCTCTGAGGATTAGTGAAGCCCAATGTTATGGGCCAGATAAAGTGAACTGATTCGAAGGGCTCTTCTGTCTGGAGATGCTCTGGAAAATGACAGCTAATTTTCATTAACCATATTTGAGTGTGATGTCTTGTAATTTCCTTGAGCCCTGTTGGGATACAGTGCTTGGAGGAGACCCAGGAGCCACGATGGAGTTCTTCTTACCCAGCTCCCTTCTGTGGGACTGGGCAGAATGGACATCAGCTTGGTGCAAGTGTGGCAGAATGTCTGTGGAGCATGGCTGGTTTGTTGGGTGGTAGTGAATTGAGTGTTCTGAGTATTCTACAATTGGAGGGTTGTCTGGGAATTTGAATTTTCTTAACTGAGAATTTCCAGTAACGTCCCATTTTAACGCCGGCTGCAACAGCAATGCCCAGAACATGCTCCAGTCAGATCTGTGGCCTTCATTTGTATTTCAGTGCACCAGGTCTGTTATGAAAGAAGCATAAAGTCCTTGTCTGTGTTGTTTTGTCCCCGTAACAACCTCTGTATGTTGATTGCCTGTGGTGTTTGGAAATGTCTGGGAGAGGACAGCAGGCTGGTGGATGATGTAGGCCAAAGCTCTATAAGTAGCACCTTCTCTGCAGCATCTGGGAGGACAGCATGGAAGCCTGGTTTCTCTTGCTCTCGTGTCAGTGATGGGACACGGTGTAGTGAGCATGGGGTTTCTTGCTGGCAGCTCTTGGACTTTTGGTGGTTTTCTGAGGAGAAGGGTGCAGGGAGGCAGTGCTGGGGAGGGGGGGGTGTGCCCGGCAGCCCCGCTCCGGGAGGGAGTCCCAGTCCCCAGCAGTGAGACCCCGTTTCTAAATCTCTTCCGCAGGTGTGGAATGTGCTGTTAACATCAATGAGTGTGAGGAGGGTCCCTGCAAGAATGGAGCTGTCTGTGAGGATGGCATTGCTGACTATACCTGCCACTGTGCCCCTAGCCAGGATGGCATTGTATGGGGAGGGAAGAACTGCTCGGTCAAGCTCACTGGGTGCCAGACGCACGACTGCCAAAATGAGGCCTTGTGCATCCCAACCTACCAAGCTGAGAGCCACGGCCACCTGTGCCAGTGCCAGCCTGGTTTCTATGATGCCACATGCTCAACACCAACAACGTTTTCCTTTGCTTCCAGAGGGTATCTCCTCGTTGAGCTGCCCGTGAACAATCAGAGCAGGAGGGACGTAGCAGGAGATGACCTTGCCAGCGTGTCCCTCCGCTTCAGAACCACCTTGCCCAGCGCCATCCTTTTTTACCGAGGCCATGAAGCTGAGTACTTGTTCCTGGAGCTCTTTGGTGGTGTTCTGCTGGCAGGACTGAAGAGGGAGGATGTTGGGTACCTGATGCTGCTGGAGGGGCTTAGAGTTGATGATGGCCAGTGGCATAAAGTTGAAGTTGTTCTGCACAGCACTCTGCAGCTGAAGCTCTGGCATGACTCCTGTGATGCAGGTGTCTGCCTGAAGAGCTCTTCTGTCCCACAGGGCCCTGCTTCCATCCCACCTGCCTTCCTCAACATGTACATTGGAGGTGCTGGGGATCCAATGGCCAACAACACACAGAGCCAGCAAGGCTTTGTCGGCTGTCTGGAGGACGTTCAGGTAGATGCTGAACCTCTGCTGCCGGTGGATCTGCCCATGGATGAGTCCTCCCCGGTGAAGAGGGGCTGTGACCGGACAGAGTGGTGCCTCTCCCAGCCCTGCTCTCATGGAGGGCTCTGTGTGGACCTTTGGGCAACCTTCAGGTGTGACTGCTCCAGGCCTTACGGAGGCCCAGCTTGCTCATATGGTAAGTGCCATGTGATTTACATCTGCCAGCTCCTCTGTCGGTTGGTGCTTCAAAGACAGTAAATCAGCATTGCTGCCAGCTTTGGAAGTAGTATTTTCTATCGACCAGTGAGAAAACTAAAGCAAAACCCTCAGTAAATAAAATTCTCATTGATCCCTTTTCTGTCACTTGCTCCTGCAGGAGCGATTGTCAGTTTTGTGGTGCAGATGTTCTGCCTTGTTGAACCAGAGAGTCTGCCTTCATCTTTGTATCAGCTCCATGTGAATGCAGAAGTTGTTTCACTGTGAAAAGCTGATCTTGGGCTTGTGAGCTGAGGATGAGTAGGAATGTATAGCTTTACAGATAAAACACGTGTTAAAGGAAGTGCTCAGACTATTTTGAGTTAAAACTGTATCTGCTTGTGGTTTTTTGTTCCTGCAAGGCTTCTATTAATATTGTTGCAGTCTTTTTGTTTCATTCCTAAGCCCTAAACCTCACAAGTACAAAGTTGCTCTGCTGTTACCAGATTTATGAATTTTAAAAGCAACTTTGTAGCTTAAAAGTCCTTGAGTATCTCTGCTAGGTGGCAAGGACTCTGCTAGATCCCTATTTCCCTCCTCCGGGACTTGGGTGCTTGAATTCATGCCCTCCAGAGAAAGCTGGGACATATTCATTTAGCTCTTAATTTGACAGACCTGTGTGGAGAGAGAGTGTAATTACCATGGTGTGTGTTGAAACTGTTGGGAAGAAAGATCTTGCCCCAGTGATAAGGAGTTGCAGCTGTGATACCCCTGTGCCAGCTGCATTCCTCTTTCATGGAGCTGATGTGTGTTTCTTTTCTCTTCCAGAGCGCCCAGCAGCGACATTTGGCCTGGAGAATTCCACCAGCTTTGCCTCCCTCACCCTTCCTGATAGCCTTGGTGCAAACTTCAACGTCTCCTTTTTCATTCGTAGTCGGAAACCAAATGGTTTGCTCTTGCAAATTGGCAACGAAACTGACCCCTGCCTCACCATATACCTGAAGAATGGCAAGCTGAGGGTAGAGACGGCACCTACAGATACTGTGACATTTCCAGAAAATTTAGTTGATGGGAGAAGACATTTGGTAGCTCTGTCTTTCCAAGGAGGAATGGTTGGTGCTCACCAATCAGACACCTATGTGAAGCTGGGACAGCTCGTAGCAAGACCTCTTTTAGCTGGTTATGGAGTGTATATTGGTGGACACCCTAACCCAGGCAGCACTGACATGTGGGGAGGGTATTTTAAAGGCTGTTTGCAAGACATCCAACTGAACAGCCACCAAATACAGTTTTTTCAGGTTGAGAACTACAGTCTGCCACAGGAACCCAACAGGACTCAAAATGATAACCTTGTGAATGGTTGCATCTCTGATAACACCTGCAAGGTACGATGGCTCTCGTTTGTCTCTCCATCTGTGCAGTTGTTTATTACAGATCTGTGGTTACAGAATACTTTGACTGTTGCAGATGTCAGGAAGATGAGAAGTTTTTTAGGTACTGAAGGACACATGGTCCCACATGGTCCTACTTCACTCAATATATTACATACCATTTAAGCACCAAGTTTTCCCCAGTTCCCTTGTAGTTTTTGTAGTTAGTAGAACTTGGGCAGTCCTGCTGTTGTGCTCCCCTCTCTGTTTTGCTGAGCCCACACACACATTCCAGACTCCCCCGCTGACCAGTAACCTCTCCAGCTCCTCCCTCGTCCTGCTTCCATTGCACAACAATGGAATTCCCCCAGGAATTCATCACCTCAGCAGCTACAGTTCAAGGAACTGTCTCCATGTGCCCTTAAATCAGAAGCTGTGTCTCCCTTAGGCCTTACACCCTAATTTTGCCCTTCTTGTTCATGGTGCCATAAAGTATTGTCACACCTCTGGTGTTGGGCGTGTCCTTCCAGTGACAGAACTTTGTGAGGTTTTTCAGGAGCATTGTACCTTGTTTCATCTGGTTTTCACCTTTGCTTTTGTGCTTTCTTCTTTTCTGAATTGGTGGAGCTCTGCCTAGGGAGGTTCTGTTGAGCAGCAGCACCCACGGGGAGAGGCAGGGCCTCAGGAATTCCTTGTGCTTCACTGCTGATGAGTCACTACTTTAACTCCCCTTTCCTGATTGAAGGGCTGCTTGCACTAATCTTTGTTGTCACATTTCCTTCCACCAAGTTCTTTTAGGTCCAAAGGTGAATTGCGCTGTTCCTAAATGCCACTACTTTGTTTTCCAGTCTGAACCGTGTCAGAATGGTGGCAGTTGCATTGTCACTTGGAATGATTTCCATTGCAGCTGTCCAGCAAACTTCACCGGGAGATTCTGTGAAGAGAGAGTCTGGTGTGAAAGTGACCCATGTCCTGAAGCAACCACCTGTGTAGATGTTGTAGCAGGATACATGTGTGAGTACCGCTCTCCTGCTTGTGTGTTGGTAGAAGTCTGTAATGTTCACTGTCTATAATCATTGTTCCTAGTTTGTTCTGTTGCAATAAATATAACCACCTGCTGCAAAAAGGAAATGGAATGATGCCCAGGCAGGATGCACTTTATGGATTTACCACCAAGTTGTGACAGAGCAAAGACAGTACTCAAAGAGGTTTTCTTCTGTCACTTTGACTTGATCAGGGAGGAACCGATCCACTTTTGTGGAGTCATTGCTGACCTTATTATCAGTGCAAGGACCATCCTGCTCTGTAGTGTTCAGCCATTTCTAGAGTCCCAGTTATTCCACCAAATAGGACCCAATTAAGCATTGCAAACGTGTCTCGGTTTTCTCCTTAGACAGAACCATGGAGAATGAAGAAAGCCAGTTAGTTAATGATGCCCTGATGTGGAGGGAGTGTTGTCGAGTGACCAGAAAGTGCCCTGAACTCCAGATGTTGGGGTGTTCCCAGCTCTGGCACTGGCTGCCTCAGCAGCTTTGGATGTATAACTTTCCCGACTTATGGTCTAGTTTTTCTATCAGTAAAAGGGCAATAGTTGTATTTTTGTGCATGCTGTGGGAATGATGAGTAAAAATTGCTACAGAAGAGCTGGATATTATTATTAGAGGTGCAGTTGTAAACAGGAAGAGCTTTAAGGCTGCCAGAAGCTAGGCCTGTAATCCTGCTCACACTAAGCTTACGTGATTCTTAAGGGAGAGAACCTGCCAGGAGTTTGCCATTGGTCTGTCTCTGACATGACACCAACCATCTTTCAAATCTCTTACACTCTACCCCTTTATTTATAGGTCTGGCTAACGCCACGTTTAATAGTTACGCTGCCGTTGAATTTACCACCAACTCATCAGTGACCAGAACTCTGAGCAGCCTCCACGTAGATTTCAGAACCAGGGATGAAGATGCTGTTTTGCTCCGGGCTGTGGAAGAAGTGGATTCCCTCCAGGTAGCCATCAAGAACTCCTCCCTGCTTGTTGACATCAGGAGTGGGAATAGCATCGAAGGGGTCAGGTTCCTGAGCCAGAAGAGCGTCACGGATGGTGCCTGGCACACCCTCTCCGTGTCCATGGAGGAGCCATCTGCGCTCTCCTCCCGGTGGCTGGTTCGTCTGGACGGGTCAGTGAACTTGACTCTGCAGGGAAATGCTGGCAACTTGGACTTCCTAAAGAACAACGCGCTGATTGTTGTGGCTGAAAACTTCACGGGCTGCCTCGGGCAGGTGAAGATCGGGGGGATCTACCTGCCCTTCACTGCCCACCCCTCCTACCCGCAGCCAGAGCAGTTCCAGCGTGCGGGCAGCGGGGACATCCCGCTGGGCTGCGCCGGGGCCGACGTCTGCGCCTCCAGCCCCTGCCTCAACGCCGGCACCTGCCAGGACCTGTTCAACTCCTTCCGCTGCGCCTGCGGCCCTGGCTGGGGGGGGCTGCTCTGCGAGGCCAACCTCGACGAGTGCCAGTCCAGCCCCTGTGTTCACGGGGACTGCGTGGATGGGGTGGCAGATTTTCAGTGCGAATGCTTCCGGGGGTTCATTGGGAAGAGATGTGACATCAACGTCGATGACTGTGTGCGGCACCAGTGCCTGAACGGAGCCACCTGCGTGGATGAGGTCTATGGCTACTCCTGCAAGTGCCCTCCTCAGTATTCGGGACCTCGCTGCGAGTAAGTACCTGGGTTAGTTTGATGCAGGGGTCAAAGGAGCCCCCAGATAAATTGGCCTTTTTCTTTGGGACACTTTGAGAAAATTTTTCATTGCAACTGTCTGGTAGGTAAAGCACGCAAATTCTGCTGTGAATTGGAAGGTGCTGTCCAGGTCCAAATCTGATTTCTGAGACCATTCCCTTCTCCAGTTGTGTCAAACTCCTTCCTAGAACTAAATACCAATTACTCTGCTTATGACCTTTGCCAGCCCCATCTCCACTGACTCTGAGCACACTTTTACCTTCCCCCAAACCGATTGCTTCAAAGGCCCTCTCTTGCTTTTCCCAGATGGCCCTTCCCCCCCGAGCAATGTGGGAAGAACTTCACCTGTCTGAATGGTGGGAAGTGCATCAGCGAGAGCTGGGGAGCCAACTGTTCCTGCAAGCCAGGCTTCACGGGAAGGAAGTAAGTGCTGTTTGTGGTGCCTGCGAGGGAGGTGGGGCTCTGATTCTCACATCATGGGGTAACTGAGCAGGTTCAACTGCTCCATCCCCTTATATCTCCTTTTGCCATTCAAACAACTGCCCCAAAACTGAAATGAGCTGTTATTTTCAGAAGAGGTGGGTTTGATATGATCCTGTTGACAATACCAATTTTTGCAGCACAAACTGCTTCCAAATAGATCTTGTGCCTCATGAGAATTCATGAATTGTGCCAGAGACCCCCACTGGCTCAGTTGCACAAAAATGGCAAAAGGAGGATTGGTACAAATGGGTAAAACTTTCATGTTGTTGGACCCTGGAGAAAGCACCTGAAAAAGATGCAACAGGAACTTTTCAAATAAATGAGGCTTTTTGAGACTGTATGATCTTTGTTTTATGGCACAAGAACATACGTGAGAAATTTCATTTAATTCTAATACACTTTTTCTTTCCAGTTGTCAAATTAACATAAATGAGTGTGACCCAAACCCTTGCCAGAACGGAGGGACGTGTCAGGACTCTGAGAACAGATACGAGTGTGTGTGCAGCGCCAGCTACACGGGAGAGCGCTGCGACGTTAACGTAAGAACTTCCCTTTGCTCCTGGGAGCTCCTCTCTATTTTTCCATCCTGTGCACTGTGAGGAGCAACAGAATAGGCTTAGCAGAGTCCTTGGGCACCGGGGTATTAGCAAGGCTGCCCACGCATTGTCACTGCGTGTGTCCTGGTAAGCACAGTCAGCAAATCAGCTGGGACCAAAGAAACCTGAACTGGGGAATTATTTTTTCTTTGCAGTGCTGCTGCACGTTAGTCTCCAGCACAAAAACAACTGCAGGAAATAGTTTTCAGTATCTGTATGGGCTGCCATATGGTTTTTCAGGGCTGTCTCTGCAACTTTCCTTAGCTTTTACAGCTCCTTGGACAGTGACCAAACTACTGCAGTTGGACCTGTAGAAAGGAGATACTGCTTATAGCTCCCCCCCAGTTTCCTGGAGAATGGGATTTCAGTGGGCATTTTATCTTGGAGGAGTTACCAAGCACCTCCCCTCGCCACAGATCTGGGTAGAACTGGATGGGTTTGGAGAAGGCAAGTCAGATGAAGTCAGGCTAAAAGTGATTCACTCACACACAAACCAACAGCATCCGCCACCTGCTGCGGCTGCTCCCGAGGCCGGGGCTGGCACAGGGGCAGGCTCAGGGGCAGGCTCAGGGACACTCTGCCTCTTCAGAGTATGCAAAGCGTTGTGTGGAACTGTGTGGAACGTGTTAAATCATACACTTGCTTTTCCTCTGTCAAGCTGTTGCATGGAGAGGCAGCTTCTCTGGTAACCTGGGAATGTACTAACCCCCACTGCACGGGGAGGGCTGTGTGTGGGGGGGCTGCTGCTGTTGCTGTTACTAAGGGCTCTGTAGTGCATGTGCCACCTGGTCACTGACATTTCCAGTTTGCATGGACTCCTTCAGGCGTCTCTGTCTCCTCTGTTTCAGGACATGTCTGGTAGATTCCTTGTATCCATCTTCATCATCCTCATTACTTTTTGCAGAACTGTCTGTCTTTTCCTTCTTCAAAGGCCAGTGCCTGCGGCGGGGGCAGGGAGGGGGGCAGGCTGTGGCTGTCTCTGTGTCTGCTATTAACCATCGCTGGAGAAGCCAAGGGCTGCTGCCTGTGCTCTCCTGCTCCTTCTCCCTCCCATGAACAGCACCAGTTCAGTGCATGCAGGAGGGTGGGCTCCTAAACCCCCCCGTAGTGGTTGTACTGTCTGACTAACCCGCTGCTGTGCAGAGCTACAACTAACCCAGCGCATCGCTCCAGCCCTGGCAGGCTCAGAGTCAGCTCCACCCTCGGCCGTCTGAGAATGGCACAAGGACTCCCAGGTACCCCAGGAATGTTCCTTCTGTGCTGTCACTTTGTGACATTGGCACAGGCTGGACCACATCCAAAAGCTGTGAACAATCAACCTTGAATTCTTTGGTTTTCATCTGTGAGGTGGCAGGTAGTATCTTTAGCAGTAAGAAATATTTCTTACTGTTAGGATTATTGTAATTTTAAATCTTTCTTTAATGACAAAAATTCCACAATTTAAAAAATTCTTTATTGTGTTCCACACCAGAATCTAAAGAATACTCATTTGGCTACATTTCTTGCTGCAGTACTTGGGCCTTATGTCATCTCCATCTCCCATCCATGTACTGACCATTTAACATCCTCCCCTTCCTGCTGCAAGGTGTCTTCTAGTCTGTTCCACAGCATTTTTATATGGCAGGGACTTTAAAGTATGTGTCTTTGTAATTTAAGGTTTTGAGTTATGAATTCAATGGATCTAGTACTCGCCATTCCCTATTTAAATAATTGAAAATCTTTTGCTCTCGGATGTGATATTATCTGGCCAGTTTTACCTCATCTGCCACTCTCTGAGGTGTTGCTCAGACTCGTCATTGCCGCTGTTCTAACACACAGCAGCGCGGTATCTTCGTCAGCACGTGGTGTGCACGAGACAGCTTTTTTGGTAGCAATTTTACGGCTCCAGGATTGGTCCCATAAACTGTCTCCATTGAGCTCTGCTGCCTCTGTGCCTGTAGCTGCCCAGGCAGGAAATCTCTCTGTTCTCCCTGTGGTAATTCTGTCCACGGGCCCTGCCTGAATTGTTGTACCGGTATCAGCTGCGCCATCAGTAAATCTCTGTTCCTGACTCTGCCCTGTTGAGATCAGCTTTGCCAAAGTGGCCAGTTAAAGAGTGTCACTGAGGAGTGGCACTAGTTTTAAATTGGAAGGAAGAATGCAGAACATGTTAACGTCTTTGTATTAGAAATAGTCACTTTTTAGTCCATGGGTTTGCTGAGAGAGTAAAGAGTGACCGTGAGCATTCTCTGTGCAGGTGCCCTCACGCTCTGCACTTGCTCCTCACTTGTCCTTTGCTGTTCAAGTACAGATCTGCTGTTTTTTTTCTTTTTTTTTTTTTTTAAAGAATACCCCTCTAATCTCACCATTTGGGATTCTTCGACTTAAGTTATTGTAACCACTGGAGTTTCATTGTCTCTCCATTAATTTCTTTTACAGAAGGGGACTCCAGGTGCTCTCTTCCCCTCCCCACTAATTGAAGTAGCTGTCCCTGTAGCCTGTGGCTCTTTGCTGCTCCTCAGTATCGGGCTCATATTCATGATTCTCACTGCAAGGAAGAGGCGTCAATCAGAGGGAACCTACAGCCCGAGTCAGCAAGAAGTGGCAGGAGCTCGGTTGGAGATGGACAGTGTCCTAAAGGTGCCACCTGAAGAGCGGTTAATATAGGCACTGTCCTGGCAAGGAGATGCACCCACAAGGTCTGCTTTGACCTTGGGCTGGTCCCAGCGCTCGCGCAGCAGCTCCTCTCCCAGTTCCCTTAAGGGCCGCGATGAAGACCTGGACTTAGCAGTGAAGGCCGAGCGCGGGGCGGGAGCTGCTCCGGCCGGGCCAGGGAATGGCAGCCACTGCACACACTGGCTCAAAGGGAGCCCCCTCCTCCCGCCCCACGGACTGCCCCACGGGACCTGCTCTCACCTTCCTCTGGCTCCTTTCAGGCAGCAATGGCATAGTTAAATCTGCTTTAAAAGGCAGGGTTAAATTAGGCACTAATTTACAGATTGAGATCTATACATGTAAGGAGTGTTGTATAGAGGGTATTTATGATGGGTTTGTATATACTGGTCTGTGTTTGCCAACAGCTGAATCGCGTTCAAAGCTTTCTCAGCTCAGGTGTGCGAGGTTTTCACAAGCAGAGCCTTCAACAGCAACAGCAGCTGCAGCTCCCGCCCGGCGACAGCCACAGCCTGACAGGGAGTGGGGGGGAATCTCTGAAGCCATTGCAGGAAGCAGTGGTTTGTGACGTGCTCCCCGTTAGACATTCCCCGGGTACCGCACAGGGAAGGGGCAGGCGGGGGGGGGTTGGAGGGGCCGCGCTGGGGGG